AATTGAATAAGTGATATATATAAAGGGAGTTTAGTGACGTCATGAAGGTCATCAGGTTTTCCAGGAAATGTTTAGTCTATCTCTCTATGTACTGTTGTAAGCATCTCATATATTGAGTTAAAGTTTTGACTGCTCTGAGTGCAAAGTGATTTTCATGTTAAGATTAAAAATACCTTTCTTCATCTGAAAATTGTCAACATTTCATTTGCATAATCTTTAAAAGCTCCTTAATACATTTCTAACTTTTTTCTTCGGTAAAACATTATATTTTATCTGTTATATTCTTTACCCTAACTCTATACAGTGTTCGTCAGTTTTTTCCTTTCTAAAATGACTTCATGAAACTACATTTGCTTACCCTAAATAGCTTAAATATAGTAACAGTATCCTTTTGTTTCTACTTAAATTTTATTGTTTTGTTGCCTTTTGAACCATGTCTAACTAATAATCCCACTACTCAAGTTGTAAATCACTTGGCAAATCTGTATCTCATGTTAACCTATCAAATTATGTAAGAAATGGGCTACTTGCAAGCACACCTCGTGAAAAGTTTTATTATTATTATTTTTTCTTTATCTTACCTTATCTAATGTAATAATTTTGTAATTTTTAAAGTATAGTTACTTTTATAATACATAAAGAATATACATGATAAACAATAAATATATTACTGACCTGGATCTTTTCTTTTGTTGTTGACTGTTGATGTAAATGGACCTTACTTTTTTATACTAATGGTAGTACCACACTAAATTAATTTTTATATAATTAATTAATGAATCTAAAAACACAGACTAAAAACAGACAATATCTAATAACTATCATAATTATTCTGGCTTTCTAACTATGTGATAAAAGCCATTAAAAATTTAGCTATGCTTGTTGATGTGTTTTTTATGGAAATATAGCCTGAACTGGAAGCACAATTTGTTATTTTCTGTACAAATAATTTTCTAATATATACACCATTTGATAGATTAAACTTTCATTTCCTATTGGTTATAACTAATATAGTATTAAACATTAGAGAGAACCACTGGCAATTTATGAAAGAAAGGATGTGACAGGTGGATATGGCAATAGGGGTCTGATTTTCTATTTGATAGATATGTAACCAAATAAGATTGAAGGCTATGTAAATTATACTTTGCCTCAGCAATGACAATATCATAATGAGTAACTTACATTAAAGTTCATACTTCGTGAAAGTGTGGTAAATAAATTAGAGAAGAGGGGATGCCTAGAGAGCAAATGTCACAATTTTCATACTAGGAGAAAATGAGAATTTTTCTAAATATTGCCTTATAAAATTAAGAATTTAGAACATATAATATTAAACTTTAGATTCTTAGCTATGTTTTGATGCTAAGTTTATTATTATAATTCCATGATAATAAAGTACTTTAATTACATTTTGAATGTAATTCAGTAAAACCTTGTGACATGAAAACAAAATGTCTCTGTGCCAAGAGTTAAGTATTAGACTTCTTGGATATGGGGACACAGGTATGTTACCATTTTGTTGATTTCTTTTGGTCATTTCCTTGTTATCCCTAGTTTTCTTTTCGTCTCCAGATGTTGAGGTCCCTGCTGACCCAATTTTCTGGCACAGTTGTGTTCAGGGGAAGCCACATCATGCCTTGACCCACTTAAGCTCAGAGTAATTGTTTTTTTCATATCTTCATGACATATTTTTTCATATTTACACTCCCAAAATTAGTGTTATGTTTATTAGTATAAGGTTTAACCCTAATACTATTTGGATCTGGATAGTCTTATATATCTTATGAGTGATCTCAGATGTTATATTGTCCATATGGCTTCCTTCTGTTGTTCTTGTTTATTTGTTCACTGGAACATTTCCTCTCTAAGTGATGTTTCACTCACTACCCTTACTGGTTGGATTCATCAACTTATAAGGCTGGTGTATTCATCCTTATCTCCCATCTCCCTAAGGTTTGTTTTTATGGGTGTCATCACATCAGATTAGATATCTTACCTTTCCCTGGCTGCCCTTCTACATCATCATTTGGGAGAAATCATCCCAGTTGGCAGGTGTACCACACCCAACACATTTGTCTCCCATTAGTCCCATTGGTGACCATTTTATCCTCATCAGGATATTTCATTATGCCTGTAGCCATACTACACACATTGGTTCAACTGTGAATTGGTACGTTTATTCATTTTTTGGTCTCACAGGGTTACACTCCCCTTTTATGTTGGATCCTACTCTGTGGTGAGTGATGCTTGTCCAGATATACTTATTAATAAATCTGGAATGTGTGGCCAATAAGGTCATTAACACCCACTGTTGATATGGGGTGTTCTGAAAGACTGCTAGAAGATTCTTTTACATGGTGTTTTACATCATAAATATGGACTAGCATAAGTAAAGCAGAAGGGGATTACTGCCCATCCCTGCTGCTCCTTCAATTGTATAAATCAGGTATGGGCTACTTTTAAAAATAGCGTTTTGAGGTCACCCATTCCACTTTCTCTGGTGCTGCGTTTCTCCAGACTCTCCAATGCACTATTTTCTCCTCCCTTCATCTAGTGCATATGGGAGCCCTTACCATTTACCAGCTCCTGGCTGCTGGGGTGGTGGATCATGGAAGGTTTCACCTGAGTGTGCTCAATCCCACTCAGTTGAGAGTAGGGCTGTGGTGTTCTACTGGTGTAGATGATGTGACTATCCAAAGTCCAAAGGAGAGTCCGTATTATAATCCGCACCTTTTTTCCCTACTTCTCTAGTTTGTAAGTAGAAGAAATAATATCATCAGGTTTATTTGTATACAGTTTTCATATTGTGTGGAATGCTGCCTGTTTAGTTTATGTAATTTATTAATTCTACTTAATGTTAACACTTTATTAAATTTTTTCTCAATTCTTCATATAAATAATATCCATATTAGAAATAGAATTTTCAAAGGCTAACATAGATTCTTTTTTTTAATTTGATTAATAAATTAAACTAATCTCATCTTTTAAGAGTGGGATTTGTGCTTCTTTATATTATCTTTCACTTTTTGTGTGAAATATGTTGAGTGTTAATTAATGATACCAGTGAAAAACATTATAAGAATACAAGTTATGGTTCTGGAGCTCTCTGATAAACTGGACTTATTTTGTCAATGTATTCATAAACTATATAGATATAGGTACTAATGTTGGGTGCATACACACATTCTGCTAAAAAGTTGTATTTTTATTTCTAAAAAACTACTATAAGAATATGCTTATGAAATTTGTTTTCATTTCATTAACTTCTCACTGGCTGGCCTCCCAGTTAGTGTGACTTGCAAAGGTAGACAATTTGATCCTTCATGGAGTAATGTAAGCCATTTTGATTTTGTTATTCTTTTTGTCTGCACCTAAATTTTATTTCATCTAAACATGATTTGAATATATATTCTTATGTTGGATGTTTTTAATGAAATTTTAAAAAAAAATGTAATTTTGACCTGTTTTGTTTTGCTCATCCAAAAGACTTCTTGTGATCTCTTTATTTTTAACTACATCTAAAAATGTTAAGTATATTCTTATAGCTGTGTTTAGAATAAAATTGAAGGGCAGCATAGTTAGTTTCTACTAACATAGTGATATGATAAAAGATGTAGTATAAATATAGTGATGCATGTTTTTATTGGTTATGTGTAACTTCAATTTTTTTTCTGCTCTCTTTGAGAAGAAAGAAATATTTATTCAGTTTTTAAATGCAGACATTGAAATACGCTGTTATAATTATGAACACATGATGGCATACTTTTTCTTTTAAAATATTTTACTTATTGATTGTCAATCATTTTGTTAACTACTTTCCCAGTTTTCCACCTCCTTATCCTCACAAGAACACTAATTCGTTGTTTATTTTTTGCTTATCAATTGTTCCTTTCTGTTTGAAATTATTTCACATTCTTTAAAAATTTTTTGGAGTAGCTGTTGTGACCATTATTCACAACATTTGATTAAATCTCCATACAATTACTGGTACACATTTAAGTTCAGAGATGTGGGTTACAGTTTGTTCTGAGTAAAGTTGTTGATTATCAAATGGAATGGATATCTTCTATCATGAACTTGCAACACTAAGGTGCATGTGTCTGGATATATTATATGTTGTTCAAGTATATGTTATTTATATTTATTTATAACCCTTATTTTCCCTGTATTTTATTCTCTTGTTCTACCTGGTGCAATAAAGTCTATTGCTAGATGCCTTATAAGTGTACTTGTACTTGCTTTAAGCACTGCCCTATAGGTGACTATTGTACTTGATTTAAGCACTGCCTTACAGTTGGTTATTTTACTTGATTTAAGCCATTTACAGTGTGCACTTTTTTAAAGTTCATATTCAATATTTTGTGTATATTTCAAAAAATGTTTTCAGAGAATGGGTTGTAAAAATAAATATTACTGAAATATACCTTGATCTGTGCTTAATGAAGATGTTTTTAGTGAATGACATATTTAGAACCAATATTGGTTGATAGTAAGAATTATAAATTATTACTCTTTTGTAACATCTTGCTTGGAGTTTTTCTTAAGTAACATACTAAAAATGAAAAGTAGTAGTGCAATGTGCTTATACATCATGATTGTCATGTAACATTTTGTATTAGTGATCATTCTGATTATGTTGATAGCACTCTAGGAGTTTAATTATAAAAAGTACAATGTAATAAGATACTGACAAAGCACATTAGGAATGTTTTTATAGTACATAACTCAAATATAAGCACTGAAAGAAAGTAATTTGTGTTGCTTTGTTCAGCAGGTAAAAAGTGTTGTGTTTTATAAAATATCTAAAGTGTTAAATATGACAAATGTAAAAGCTACCTAAAGTAATCATGAGAAGCTTTATATAGTAGTTTGGAACAAGATTTAAAAGGATAGAAGTTTTTCAACATTGCTTACTTTGCTTATTTTGTACACCTTTCTCTTCCTTCCTCTGTGGCGGTGGCGGATGTGTTGTCTTTCCTTCATTTGGTGGTGGGCAGAAGGGTTCCCAGGTACTGTACCTTGCTTTCTTTGTGCTGATGTTGCATGCAGTCTTAGAGTCTCCTGATTTAAATGAATTATCCACATTAGGATACTAGCATAATACAGTTGTTGATTTCATAGCAGTGTAAGAATAGATGTGTGTGACTTTAGTTCTGATATGCTAAAAGTAAATAATCAGTACCTTAATTTTTAAAAATTCCATCCTGTAAGTGCATGAATAGGATAACAAACCATCAACAACATGGTTATTCATAAAATATTTAAGGTTTGCCATAAGTTTGTAAGGTATTGATAAAATTTTGTTCTGTTAACCCTTTCAGCACAGGCTCAGTACTTAGGACTGACCACATAACCATTTTGTGCTTGTTATAGTTTTCATGCTATAAATTTTTGATTAGTAAGCACATGTTAACAAAATTTGGCAGATTATCAGTAAACATTACAATGCTTTCATACACAATATATCAATTTTTTTTATTAAGTCTTAAAGTTTGTAAAACAATGTTTTTTCGTGCATTTTTTTCTTTTTTGCATATTGCCTATCCAACATGCAACAAAATTTTCATTTTAAGATTAACAGTACTTTTATGCACCAGAAA